AGTCCTAACTCTAGTGTGGGACAGTACGAGAGCCGGCCTTGAAAAATGGAAAAATAAAATTGGCCCTGTCCAAATTACGTCGTAATTGACGGGAGTACATTACCTCTTTTGTACCTCATATTGACCAATTAAGTTACGACTCTCGAACATGTTTTTAAAAAATGAGGTGAAAATTGAGATAATACATGCATGGAATCCCCTCTAGATAATTAACTTATATTAACTAATTAATTTGGTATATAGGAATTGCATAACGTATGTATGTATATGTATGTAGGGAAAGGTGCCAATGGTGTCGTTTGAGGCGTTGCATCAACTGCACATATTCATATTTGTAATGACTCTTGTTCATGTTACCTTTTGTGCCACTACTACGGTCCTTGGAGGTCTAAGGGTAAGTATGTCCAAAACTCACATTTTCTCTATATATACCTGTCTTTTTAATCATATCCCATGCACTTCTTCCATCCAATAGCTTTCTTCTGCCTTGACTTTTCATGATTTTCAATGTAACATTTTTTTTCCACAATTTGTATTCAAAGTTCAAAAAACATTGAGCAACAATGGGAGTATGTAATACGAATTAACACACACACACACATACATATATATATATATATATATATATATATATATATATCTGAGGAATGTAAGGGGAACCCCAAGATTTTGACATCAAATACACACCAATACAGACATACCCAGACATTTAATGTCCGTGAACAAACAGACATTAATTATATGTGTGCTTCTGTATTGGCCTTGGTGTGCAATTGGTGTCAAATGCTTGTGGTTACTCTAGCATTTTGTATATATCTTGTGTTAGCATTTATTTATGTATAACACTTCAATTAGTGCAAAAAAAAGTACACGTACGGTTATACTTTTAGTGAAAAATATTTTTCACTTCTCACGTTTTTCTTACACTATGTTTAGTTCAAGAAATTTGAAAAGGAAAAGAAGAATTAAATGAGAAAACAACTTTTCATGTTTGGTTATAATGGAAAAGAACAACGGAAGGAAAAAAATGAAAAAAGAAAATGCACTAAGAAGAATGAAAATGTGTTTCCTTTGGGAAAGGAGAAAAAATGTAATAAACACCTCTTTCTTTTCCTTTCCTTTTGAATTCCACGAACCAAACTTGCATAGCATTAATGAAATGCACACATTAATCTTTTCTTTTCTTTTTTAGGTAAGACAATGGCGTCATTGGGAGCATTCAATTCAAAAAGCTTCACAAGAAGAACAAGGTAGCTACAAAACAAGCCCTATCTATGAAAACGATTGTATCAAATTGATTATCTAGTGAACTTATAAACCAGGGTTTTGTCTTTCGAAAGTCGACCGTTCTTGTTGAGAAATCAAACCAATGTTTTGGAGGCTCATAAAAAGTTTTATAGCCTAACATGCCCCAACGCATGCAAAAGAATCTTGTTTGCTCGAGCCTTGCATATTAAAATTATTAATTTTTTTGAAAGAAAATAACAATGAGATTTAAACTCGTGATTTCTGGGTTTACAAGTTTTAGATGTGATGCTAATTGAAAGACTAATTACTCAACTAAAAGTTCAAACTCGTGATTAAATGTTCAGGAAATTTTTTTATATTCTCATCATAGTTCTCATGAGGATGGACCCTTTTATGTATAAATTAAATAGGTCATCACAGATTACATAAATTGCATCTTCAATCATTCAAGGAAAGAGCAGGCAAATTTTGGAGGAGGTTTGCTGTTATAAGTTGGCTGGTTAGTCAAATGAATTGTCTAATTATTTAAATTTAAATATTTAATCAATTATTGGATTACTTTGGTTAAATCATTTTATTACTTTTGTAGGTGGCATTTTTCAAACAATTCTATGGTCCAGTTACCAAGTCTGACTACGTTGTGCTGAGATCTGGATTTATAAGTGTAATTTTTTTTTGTCAAATCATTTTTGAAATGTGGTGTATCCTTTTCGCACATAGGTTAAACACTTAGGCCATGTTCTTTTGAGTTGGAATTTCAGAATTAGATATAAAAGAAACTAAAGAAATTAGAAAAAATTAGAATGAGTTGGAAAAAAACTTGAAGGAGCTGGAAAATGTTAGAAGAATTAAAATGTTAAAAACTCACTCAATTAAATGATCACCCAAATAAATATGTCAGAAAACTTTAACTTTGGATAAAAAAGAATTCATCTTTGTTGTGTTTGAAGTGATATGTTATAAATTTTGAAATGTAATGTTATTTTATATATTAATCATATATAAATACTCCCTCCGTCCCAAAAAGAATGTTACATTTCATTTTTTGCGCATCACAAAAAGCACTGCTACTCACATCTAAAAATTCTAAAATTTACCATATTTACTCTTTATTATAGGATGAAATTGTTTTGAAAGTTTTTTTAGCATTTGAGACGATATTAAAGTGTTTTAAGGGATACGCAAAAAATGAAACGAAACATTCTTTTTGGGACGGAGGGAGTACATTTTTTGAGTTGTTGGAAGAAAATGAAATGAGTTAGAAGGAACTGGGAGAAGTTGGAAGAAACTGAGAGGAGTAGAAAATTAATTTTTCTAGCCCAAAAGAACAGAATCTTAAAGGGACGCGTAACTAAAAAAAATTAGAAAAAAAAAAAAGAATAACAAATGTCTTACCTTAAAAAGAAAGCTAAAAAAAATACTACGAGTACTCCTTTAGATAAGATGAAAAAAGTCAATTAAATACAAACAAAATTTCCTCAAAAAAATAAAAAAAATAGAAACAATAACGTGCAATTTATATACGAAGTATATAAATGCTCGAAGTCTCACGCATGATCTTATTGACTCCAAAGAATCAAACACGGGAAAATCAAACATAGGAAAACGAATTCCATCCTTGTCAAACACGGGGAAATAGAATGAAAATTTTCTGTGAAAATATTTTCCCCCCCATTCAAACAACCTATAAATACTCAGTTCCATGCACATTTATTTAAAATACATATACTGTATATATTCACTCATTGCAGGCCCATTGCCCTACCAAACTTGATTTTGATTTTCACAAGTACATGTTGAGGACACTGGAACATGATTTCAAGAAAATTGTGGGCATTAGGTAAATTCATATTTTACATTTTAAGTCAAAATTTACTGGGGAAAAACCAATATGTATGCATTTTGAAGCAGTCAGATTCTTTAGTAATTAAACTTTGGAAATTGGCCTGTGCTAATTGGACAGTGGACTCCTGTGGGCGTTTGTTGTTCTTTTCTTGCTGATGAACATTGCAGGTATGTATTTATGCATGTAGTGTATAAATTAAATGCTCTCTCCATCCTAAGAAAAAATTCAAAAATTCTTAATTTTTTGTTGTCCTAAAATAATATCTTCAATGTGCTTTGTTTTCTATAAAGAAGATTTATGTTTGTTTGTTTGATTATTGAAAAAAAAAAAGATTTATGGGATTGATATTTTTTCTATCATTTCTAAATAAAATAATCCCTACAATTTCATTTTGTTTATAAAACTAAAGCAGAATCAACGAAAACCAAACCAGTCAAAACTAAAACCGAGAATGCCAATCTAGCCATAGGTAGTTCGGGTTCACGGTTTAATGTTTATAAATTAAAACCCGACTTAACCAATAAAACATACAAAAAACCAAACGTAACATGCCAAAAACGATACTTGAGAAAAAAACAAACCAGAAAAACTGGACTGATGAGCTAGCGGTAACTAATTCGTTATCTTTCTCATTGTATTTACAACTAAATAGATGAGTAACTTTGCATGCGTCATGGAAATCTTGCAGGATGGCATACTTATTTTTGGATGTCATTTTTGCCTATAACTGTAAGGAACAAACTCTCTTTTTTTCTCTATTTGGTTCATTGCAATCACTTGTACATACGAGAATGCAAATTGTATGCCAAGAAAAATAATATGAACAACAGAAATCTTACCTCGCTGTCACGATTCATAAGGTTGGGTAAAATCTTGCAGCTTCTGCTTATAGTGGGAACAAAGTTAGAGCACATAATCACAGAATTAGCACAAGATTTAGCAGAAAGAAATGGAACGGAAGCAGTGGGGATTAAGCCCTCGGATGAGTTGTTTTGGTTCAAAAACCCAAAACTAATATTTCACTTGATTCACTTCATTTTGTTCCAAAACTCTTTTGAGATTGCATTCTTTGCCTGGATTTTGGTAAGATTTTGATTTAATCTTCACAAAAGTCTAACACTCCCACTTTTTTTGTCCATAAATTTTTTATCTATTTATTTATTGTGCTCTCGGTATCCTCCCCATTGAGAGACTAATCCGGATGAGGGCATGGATGGACCCCACAGCTGTAAAGCGCTTCGGAGGGTCCTGCCCCGGGCTCTTATTATGGTGGCACATGTATCCGTCCCAAAAGGCTCTCCTTGGGGGGAGTCGAACTCACGGCCTTGTGTTGGCAAATATCTACTCCTTTGTTGGGCATTTATAGAGAGCTAAAAAAAATTAATTATGATAACATTTTTTCCAGTCTACATATGGGTTCAGATCATGCATCATGGAAACATTGGGTTTCACCATCCCAAAGCTTGTAATAGGGTATATTTGAACTAGCCCTTGTTTGGAGAATACTTAAACCCTCACTCTTACTATTAATAAACTAATACTTAATCATTTATTACTGCATGGAATTGAATTTACTGCAGTGTGATTGTTCAAGTCCTCTGCAGCTACAGCACACTCCCTTTATATGCTCTAGTTACCCAGGTAAATTTCATTGCATTCTTTTACCCTCACCACATCAATTTTAAAAAGTTGTTGGATCCCACAATTAGGAGAATTGCTCCTCTTAGGCTACTCCTAGTTTGTCTTTTGAGAGCAATAATACGTGGACTTACTGTATAACTTACCGGCCATGCTCCAACTTGATGAATGCAGATGGGAAGCCACTTTAAACAAGGGATTTTCGACGAACTCACGCAGGAAAAAATTCTGGCCTGGGCTAGAAGAAGAAAGACCGGCTCAACGGCTCACTTGGCCACACTCCCATTTGAAAGCATCACCACATCTGATAGGCCAGCAGCCGGCATCTCATCAACAATTCAGCTCTCTCATTATCCAAATCCTGTATAATAATAATAATGATAATAATAATAACAACAATAATAATAATACGATCTCCATCATCAGCTTACATAGATGAGCCATTAGTTGGAAAACATTGTATTAATTATTGATTTTTGCTTGTTCACATTTCTAATTACAAATCATTTAAGGTAAGATTAACAGTTAGTACTCTACTACCACTACTGGATGGTAACAGAAAGGCTTGAGTGAATGGGTTTTCCATTGGGGAGTTGTTCCGTCTCAGGTTTATTATCATTGCCCGGAGTGAGGCCATCACCATTTCTCTCAGACTGTTGAAGATTGTTCAATGTTCTTTTGGCGTACGCAGTGAATATGACTATGATGATAATGGCGATAATAAATGAAGTGACATTGTAGAGTATCTCCACATTAGTCAGGTGATGGTTCCCATATTTCACATCCGCAAACGTCCTTATTAGCCGACCACTGCAGAGTAGCACCAAAGGTTTCAGATGAAGCAATTTCAAGCAAAACACTCAAAGCTATTGATAAACAAAAAAAAGAATTTCTACTAAATAAATTTATGCACTAGACTTAAACCATAAAGAACTTGTTCCTTGCGCATTAATTAACTGGACTCTGGAAACTAGAGCCCAGGAGACTGGAGTTAATGTTAACAAAACTTTGGAGTCTAAAGTCAAGTCTCTAGAGACTGGAGTTTGAAGAAATGGAATTAAAAGTTGAATAGAACAGGTCCAAGAGGAAAGGGAAACGATTACCTGTAGATGTAGACAAAAGATTCAGGGATCATTCCAGCAATCGATCCACAAAAATAAGGCCAAAATCTCATGTTTGTAACCACTACCGCATAATTGAAGAGTGTATACGGAAAAGGTGAAATCCGGAACAGAGCAACAACTCGGAACTGATGGAACCAGCTTCTTCGCCAGCCAATCTAACCATAGCAGCTTGCTTGGGCCATCTTTTTAACCATTTCTGTAAAAAATATATAAATTTCTTTAGGTTATGTTTGGAACTTGGACAATGGAAGTAAAAAGGAGGAAAACTAAGGAAATGTTTTCTTTAATGTTTGATTTCACTTTTGAAAAATACAATGGAAAAAGCTTTTTAAAATTTTAGATTTAGCTATCTTAATCTTCACGTACTAGAAATACTCAAATAAAACGAGCTTGAACGAATATCTAAAGTTAATTTCTTGACCTAGAAGCAACTTTCCTTGGCATTTTCTGAGCTCCACATAGGCCCTCAAAGACATTTCCATTTTCTAATCAGGAAACTATTGACAAGACAGGACAATAATCAATAGTACTATAGTAGGAAAGTAATCAAACATAGATAGAATATACTACATAGAAAGTATCAAGTGATAGCTTTTATGGCGTCTTACATGGATCCGATCACGGAAGAACAAGGCAACTAAGAACGGAAGGACCATACCAATGCTTGTTCCTACCATGATGATAACAAAACCAATACCATATCCAAAGATCATTCCAGCTAGCCACATGGAAGGTCCAGAAGGAATTAGAAAAACTGGGAACAGTGCCAAAGAAGCCACAAGCACAAGTGCAAGAACTGGACGACCAAATGCAGTGGCTTCCCATTGTAAGATTGGGATAAGAACCTACAAGAAAATAAAATGATTTATAAGTTAGGTCAGAGAAAAAAAACTGATAAATGAAGATAAAACTCATTTTTCCTATCTTTCTATGACATATGACAGATGTATTCATTTATGTGCATCTTATAAACAACATTACACATAAACTATTTTATAGTACCACTGATATGTTCCTACAGACTCCCTCTTTAAGCTAAAAATCATTACTAAATGTTGGAGTTCCCACATCAAAAAATAAAGAAGAATACCACTAGCATATATAGAAGGGTGAAACCCTACCTATGAGCTTAAGCTTTTGGGTTAGAAAGTGGATCCCGACTATATATGCAAGTGGTTAATTTTACCCGACACTCCTCCCGTTGTTCTCGGCCCACCGGAATTTTAACATGGTATCAAAGCAGCTCCGGTCCGGATTCAATTTTTCTTGGTTCTTTGGACGTTGGTTTAGCAAAATGAACACCCATTTGTGGTTCATTTGGGTTGAGTTGGCTAAAAGATATTGAAATGCCACCGCCCGTTGTGTGGGCTAGCTATAAGAGATTGAGATGCTAGACCTGTTCGTCCAAGTGCTAACTAAGCCAGGCTAGTACCACTTGAGAGGGAGTGTTGGAGTTTCCCAAATCAGAAAATAAAGAAGAATACCACTAGCATATATAGAAGGGTGACGCCTTACCTATGAGCTTAAGCTTTTGGGTTAGAAAGTGGATCCCGACTTTATATGCAAGTGATTAATTTTACCCGACACTCCTCCCGTTGTTCTCGGCCCATCGGAATTTTAACACTAAACTTCTCATAAAAGCCCAAAAGTACAACATGGGGACAAACTCTTTAGGAACCAACTCGACCAAAAGCTCAAGCTTGTGGTTGAAGGCCTAAAAAACTTTCATGCTCTAACATGCCCTCTCATGTGCATGCGAGGTCTGGTTACTCGAACCTTGCACGGGAACACTAATTCCTTTAGGGTGGGTGGCGGTGGGATTCAAAGTCCTAACCTCTAGCCCTCTCGGTCAACAAGCGTTTGATACTATGTTAAGGAACCAACTCAACCAAAAGCTCAAAATTTGTGGTTGAAGGCCTAGTGCCCTAGTATTATTCAGTTATACTCTAAGCTATTAGCTAAACTAAACGAGCGAATGGCATACCTTCTTGAATAGGAAAGGAACTCCCCACTTTACGAAGATTAAAATAATGATGACACATGTAGAACACCACATCAAAGTCTTCAATAGCCATACGAGGTCTATTTTTCTGGTTTCTGCCGGTGATTGAAAAATATCAGCTTCGGTTGTTCTTACTTCGTCGTCAGTTACAACCAGCCTTGAAATTTCACTATCCTCATTACCGTCAACCTTGCGGTTCATGTGCTTTTTGCTTAAATCCTCTGTTGAATCTATCATCTTGAGTTCACACCCAGAATCTATTAACTGCAAGTACATGCATAAGAAAATCTATTAACATAGTGTCTTAGTTTTATACGTCACTCCTGTCTCTTACCTTTTTAAAATACCTAAATTTTTAGGATAAGCATTAGCTAGATGAATTAAGAGCTCCAAAATAAAATCACTTTGTGAAGAAATGATTTCCTGACTAACATAGATTACAGAATTTATTACATACACTAGAAAAATTGCCATATCCATAAATGAAGAAACCATTCAATTGTCCTGAGACAAAGTACAGAAGCTTTCTTTCCTTGTGAAAACTCATACATAAATGTAGAATTGAAGGGAAAAAACACATAATAAATGTAGCTCCAGAGCACACAAAAGTAGAACTCATTTCTAGAGTTTCCAAATTTATACAAAACAACAACAAAAAAGGGTCTTTATTTCCTAAAATTAGCAAACGTAAAACCCTAATTTGAACATTGAACTAGAAATACTCTACGGAAGTACGCAATCCAGGCATCTTAGGTCAACAATCTTACTCGAAGCAATCTGATTTAACGATACATATAATTTCTTGTCAATACGCTCCTCAAAACATATGCTTAATCTAGGATTGTATGTACATTTAAACACGCCAAGTGACGAAAAACTACTCCGTATAAAAATTTGGAAGAACCTGAAGAAATTGGAGGATGTGATGAGCGAAGGAGCAAAGACTATTTTTTTTTTGGTGAGCAAAGACTATTTTGATTCTATTGGTTTCAAAGAAAAACGTAGGTGTATCAGATATTCTAAAAATTAGAAATATTTTAAGGAGTACTCCGTATTAATTAGAAATATTTTAAGGGGTACTCCGTATTAAAGAGGTCCCATTACATTCAAATCTCATATTCTTGATGCTTTTACGATACTCCGTTTAAAAAATTGTCGTTTCCTAACCCAGTAAAACTCCTACCCCCGCCCCGACAAGAACACCCCACCCCCTACAACTGTACCCACAAGTTTATTTTGGTTTCAAGTCAAAAATTTTGATTCTAAAGTCAAATAAATTTGGGAAGTGCAATTGAATGCGGTGAGAGGTACGTTCGGGTTGGGGCGAGGTGGGGTTTATCGGGAGTTGCAATTGAATGCGGTTCCTACCACCTAACTTGTAAGAATAAACCACACACACATATTATGTTTTAAATTTTACATCTACAATCAAATAAATTAAATTATAAATAAAGTCTGTCAAACCTCGTAAACAGAAACGGGAAGAACATTTTAGGACGGAGAGAGTAATTTCCGTACTAAATACTCCTTCCGTCCCACAAAATTTGTCCTTATACTAAATGAAGATCATTTTTAAATTATTTTTTATTTAATTTTATTGCGCATTGGATAAAATAATATTCCATTTCTCTCAATTCTCATACATAAATGTAGAATTGAAGGGAAAAAACACTTAATTATTTTGAAATATGGAAGAAAAGTATTTGAAGAAAAAAGAAATTAAATCAAATTAACAGTCGCAGATGTTTGGTGAGTAATTAAGATATCAAATGCAAATATAGGATATGATTTTATTGTACCAAATAAAATACACTAAAATTATAAATTCCAAATCATAAAAAGGAAATTAATTACTCCCTCTATCCTAAAACTTTCTTCCCAGAGCATTATTCCAACTTCACGAGAATTTATATTTATTTGTGTTTTTTCATGGCCTATATAATAAAATAAAATATTCTTGTCACCACTTGTTTTGTTGAACTTTTGATGTAGTTTTTAAATATGTATGTTTTATTTTTTATTTCTATACCAATATTTAAATAAAATAGATTGAAAAAACTTGGAATTTTTTTTCGTTTTGCGCAACGAGAAGAAAGATATAGGACGGAGGGAGTATATAAAAATGCAACCTAACAATAATTTGTAAACTATTGCAAATCGATAATATTTGATCGATATTAAATTTGATGATAATTTTATAAAATACAAATGACCCTCTCTACTTTAAAATTACAAATCTAAAAAAATATTTGAAAATGTCGCTTAACTTTTTCAGTGGCACAAAATTAACCAAAATATTGATAAAAAATGGAACCAAGTGATGAAATTGGGGATGAAGATATTAAATTGTGGATTCAAAAATTAGTTTATAAAACTTCTAAACTTAGTGAAGAGAAGTGGATGAAAGACTGAAAGAGAGAAGAAACATATCTTAGACTAGATACAAATATCGCTGAATTGATGATAATAATAATAATAATAAAAAGAATATAACTCCTAAATACAAATGCATACCCTTAGTCTTCACCAAACAGGCCCTTAAAGGACCATAAAATAAAAGATGGGTTAGAAATGCAATTCAGGTAAATGCCAATGGGTATGTTGCAGATTAGGCTTAATACATAAGCCTATCTCATCCTATTTAGTAGTATTTGGGGGCGGTTCCCATGACATGGGGTTCCAATGTCATGGGAACCCCACCGTATTTGGTAAAGCCCTGGCCGAATGGGTCAAATTAGAAGTAAACCCACATAGACTTGGAATAAGGGCCAAGCAATGTTAGAACTTAGAAGGGAGTGATTACTATTTGACTTTTAAAAAAGAAAAATTACAAATATGAACAATATTTGGAACGGATCTCTCCCTACAAATTTTCTCTTAACCAATCTTCTGTGGGCAAACAAAACTAAAACAAGAAATGACAATAGTGAAAACAATTTTATAACTCTAAGTTTATTAGTGGCATATTATATGCTACAACCTGATGTACATTCCTCTTTTACATCATGGGAAACTTGTAATTAAAAATGTTTCAGAATGAACACTACGTTGCTTCAGAATAATACTATGTTGTTCCAGAATGAACATGTTTCGAAATAAACACTAGACTATTTCAGAATAAACATTGTGCAGAATAAACACTACTGTTGAAAATGAACATTCTGTTGATTCAAAATGAATATTCAGCAAGTGTACCTAGCTCTACGTACATCTGGGTGTACAGTATACATTCTCATTTTTTAGTAGGTAATTCAGTGCCACAGAATATAGTTAAGATTACAGCATCCTATTGTAGTCTTGCATATTTAAAGTTTGGGGGGGTGGGGGTCAGTAACAAAACATATTTTACCTAGTTAGAATGGCATTGCATTGGCCAATTATGTTGCAGAAGATAGCACATCATCTGAATCCACTTTTAGCTGAAAATAAGAAAACATATACACTCATAGTATAAGGACCAATTATCCTTGGGAGCATTTTTCTAAATAAAAAAAAACAAAATATGGCAATAAAAAGGGCATACAAGATTTAGATGGTTCTTCAGAGCAGAATGCAGCAACTTCTTCAGCTTTTCACTTTGGTCAACCATATGACCCAACCTGATAGACTGCTCCAGCTGACACCACAAGCGCTCAATATGAGCATATGGAAACCACACAGCTGATGGTCTTTTACGGCGAATCACATCCATCGGTCTCTGCAAATGGTGACACCCGAGATTACGGTTTTTTTACTTAAAAAATAGGATCGTGTTACAGTCACACCAGCTTTGACACTAAAGTTTGAAACCATGCGTTTCACACAATCATGTCTGAGTCGCAGATAATTATTGTCGTCTATGAAACGCATGGTTTCAAACTTTGGTGTCAGAGTTGGTGTGACTATAGATTTATCCTATAATATAGGTTACATGTGTGCAGCCTTTGATTATTACTCCGTATTTCAGTCCTCTATTACTACGTACTTAGGTACTTACTGCCTCCAACTTAGAAAACAAACTGTATTTGATTTATGTACAACTTTTAAACTTTGGCAATGTCTATTTGGCATAAATCATGAACCATTCCAATATTAATGAAAATTTATTTGTGGGTTTTATTAAAGTTAGGAAAAGTAACATACATGTGAATCTTTTTTTAAAGCATCAAGTTACATGAAAAAGATCAGTTTTTTGAAGGACTCAAATTATTAGTAACCTCGGCTAGGATTCCCCCACATCAGTCTCTACTACTTTACATTTCAAATTATGATATTTGATTGTTTCAATTCAATTTAATTTTTTAATTGCACACCAATTTTCAAATAAATTCAATTAAAAATAGTTTTGATCAAACATTATCAACCGAATCAGGATGAGAGGAAAAACTTACCAAACATGCAAAAGATTCTATGTACTCCAGAAGTAAATTAGTTGCTTCGGTGAATCGTCCATAATCAACATATAATTGAAACAAGGATGCTGGGTTTGACTCATTTCCAGCCATACCCCAACTACTTTCTCGTTGAGCACTCTGTGGGACATTTACGAAACATTAGTTATCAAGTAATTAACTTTCCTGTTGATAGCAAACACCCTATATGATCATAGCTATGAACTTATTGCGGTGAACTATTCTTTTCTTTTAATAACCTTTTGGGAATTCTATCATAATCAAGGACCATCTTTGATCCTCATGTAGTCATGTCCGGTTTGATTTATATTAGGTAGACATAAAGCATACCTTGAACTTCTTAACTAACCACAAGGGTAACTCAATCTGAGGATCAGCTGCAAGAAGCGTTTCTGCAACCACAACAGGTAATCTACCATGGAATCCTTTATATTTATCCTGAAAAACAATACAAACATAACTCAGCCTCAGTGTAAATGTAATTGTTCTAGTTGCTACACACCGCCTACACCTACACCATAGAAACATGATTCCACCTTTCTTGACATTGTAGAATAAGACCCATCTATTGCTTTGTTAAACACTGCCCAATAGAAATATCATCTAATGCAACATGTGCACGCAAATTATGAAGCTATGAGCAAAGGTAAACGCAGAATATGAGAGATAAAATAGTATTTCAAGTAATAGTTAAAAGAATGAATGATATACTGACAACATAGAGTTCAAGAGTTCCCCACTGGCTATTTCCCTTAGATTGTTGTGGTAATGGAACCGCATTAGGAGAACCATTAGCAATCATCTCATCTTGTGATGTCAACAAAAGAAGATTCTGTAGTCTACACTCATTCCTGAAAAAAGTAAAAAGTAGATATTCTAAGAATTCCTATGACAAAACCAATGAAAATAAGTCCTTTTCTTAGATAGAAAAAAGAGATATTAACAGATCCTCACCCAATTGAAGAAGAAAGTTGTTTGCTTGGGCAGCATTTTAATGCCATCGCGGCAAACACCTTTTCAAGTTCCCTAGAATACACATCACAAAATTTTAAAAGTCACAGTTGTAAAAAGCTCAACTGCTTTGGCACTCTTACCAAGAAAGCTTGAAAAATAATATTTATACCTCTTCAAAGCTGAACCATTCCAAAACTTTAAAATTACTGTAAAAGCCAAATCATACAGATTTGACTCGACCAGCAGGTCAACTGTATCTGGAGGGGGTTTCTCATTTCCTGAAAAGAAGTGGTATATAACAACCAGCAAGTCAGTAAGACACACAAAAAAGCTCAAGTTTTGACATTCAAACATAATACCGTTAAGACATATATCATCAAATCTGTTTTTTTTTAGTCAGAGAAATTGATGTTCTTCACACACAAATACGAATTTGAATAATGCAAAAAATGACATTGCTAAAGATTAAACCTCTAGGCAATTTTAAAACATAAAACTATCTCCACCTTCAATATTACTTAAAAAAGTACTACTGTTATGGGATAGTGGCACGCAAATTAAGAAAAGTTGAATTGTAATTATGAAAAAAGTGAACCACACATTACTAAATACGGTA